CTTTATATAAGCACAAACTCTCTATAAGCACCAAATTCTTAAAACCAAGGGTGTGATTATAGAGAGGTTTGACTGTAATATAAAAATCCACTAAAATATTTTCTTTTTAATATTAAAATTTCTTTTAACATAATTTTATTAATATTTTATTAGTGATAACTATTTAGATGTAGGCCTTTATAACTAAAAATTACAAGCCTAGATTTTGAATAGATCGATAGAAGGTCTCTATAATGCAAGTTACAGAGCCAAATTTTTATACTTAATTAAAAAAAATTTATTGGTAATTTTTGTCCAGATTCAAAAAAATATAACTAAATTGTTATTGGAATAGAAGAGTTGATTGACATAAAACTTTATTAAAAAAGAAATCTGCAACCAGCTCATCTAAAAAAAGGTATATCAACTTTATACATATATTTTTTATGTATAAATTGTTACGTACGGATTAATTGTATTGATAAAAAAAAAATTTCGGTAAGCTAAAATATTAATAATCACACATAATTTGATTTACTTAGTTGACAGGCAACCCCAATACTACATACTGTATAATAATAATAAATCCGGATCAAAGTTTTTGTATTTGTAACAATCCAGATTAAGATCATAAATTGTCGCCACAAGTTAGAATAAACTTTAAAATTGGAAATTTGCTATTTGTCTTATATTTGAATATTAAGATAAAATATGTGTTTGCAAAGATCAATAGAAACAAGGATTGTTTTATTAACTTTATAAAATATAATCTAAAATTTAAAGATCATAATTAAAACTTTAGCATATAAGCATCATCGTTTTGCGAGTTTAACTAGGCAGAGAAAAAAAAGATATTACACGAATAGCTAGTGTATGAATAACAGGCAATAAGCTTGCCTTCTACTGTTTATCGTCATCATTTTTGGACTCTATGATTTTCTTTAACTCTTCTATTCCAATTTTGGCGGTTCGTTGCGATTCATCGAGTTTTCCACCAGATGAAGTTAATTGGATGAGGTTGGTTAGAGTACGGTTTCTATAATGTCATGTATACATTTGAATAATTAAATTTGATAAATACAAAATAGATGTTTTTATACGTGAAGACGCGACTTAACACTGCATCTATGGCATGAAGTATGCCTTGAAGTTCATATAAGATTTGTGTTTCGTGATCATCCAATGTCATTGTTTAAAAGTCGGATTCAATTTTGTAAAACAGATTAATTTAACACGGATCAACCGTAATTTTTAACCGGTCATCAAAAAATTTCAGATCATGTGAACTAAGCTAGATTAGATTAGATTTTACTGTTTTAGCGCCAAAAAATCACTTGCAGGAATTAGTGATGTAACTCAAACTATCCAAACCATGCGATAATTAGTATAACATTGTTTCGGGCAATAGGAAAAAAACCAGCCGAAACTAATGCTATACTGATTATCACAGTTTGGGACGTCCCAAATAGTTTGGGTTGCATCTATACGTAGTAGGAATGTCTTCCTAACCAATAAGATACACCTCTACGTGGTGTTTGGGACAAGTAGGACGAACTAAGTATTTTTGTATCTCTGCTTCTTTATTAAAATTTCTATTTAACGTTGTATATATATAGATGTTTATACTGTATATTTAAAAATTTCTGTAATCGTACTAGACTTATTTTTGATCGATTTTGTTGTTTATGTATTAGGAAAGTTAATTAAATTTGAAATTTGGTTAATAAATTCAGTATCTAAATTGCGTATAAACTTTAAATTCGATAAAATAATGTTTTTATTCGAAAAAAAATTTACTAATAAGTGGATGATTATTCTTACCTAATTAAAATTAACCTTTGTGTAATACGTATAAAGTTGCTCAAATAACAAGTTTTATATAATTATATAGAGTTTATATTTTCTGAATTATCAGTTATCGTAAATGTACGTACTGTACGTTATTTTAATTTGGTTAAACAACGTGCACTTAAAGAACCATAAGAAAAAGTGTATATATATTTGGATCTGAATTTGAGTGTGCATTCAAAGAGGGTGTGGTGCACTTATGGAGATTTTACTGTATATTTTAGTTTATAAAGAGTAGTCAATTTACCTAATGATTATAATTACGCGTCTAAAAAATGAAAACTTAACATTTAACAAAAAATTGTTTAAAATAAAACTTCGAATTTATAAAATTCATTAACAAAAACCATCAGCATTTTGCTTTAATGTTACTGTTTTGATAGATATATATCTCTGTTAGATTATAGTCTAATTTTTTAAAAACCTCCAGATCCCCAGATCATATACTGTAATTTCATTGTAAAAAAGAAACCAATTTTTTCTTCTGGTTGCTAAGG